TCATTATAAAAAAAGTTTTTGCACTTCTTATAGTTTGGCACTTTTGGTTAAAAGCCAAGCAATACAACTTTGGTCTTAAAGGTTTAAATGTTATTTAAACAGAAATATTGTTGTGTTATCTTTAGCATGAAGAACGCCGTCTCTAAGCTACAGCTGAAATGAGTCACTTTCCAAATCTGAGGAACAAATGAGAAGGATAATGCTGCTACCTGAAAAAAAGGCAAATTCTGTCCAATTAGAATCAACCAGTCTCACTACACTATAAATAGGTTTAGTATTTATTCTTTGAGCATTCAAAAATAAGCAATCATTCAAGCCCCGGGATTATTAGAAAATTAAAACGTGGGAGAGGAGAATGCTTTCTTTGGCCAATCAAGGCTACACATTCAGCAAAGCCGCGTGACAAATGGTACTGTTACAGAACAGAACATTGCATGTATTGCTGCCTTACTAGGTAGTTCTCCACAGGGAGCCCTTCTGCAGACTTTGCACCATTTGCAGGCTGGTTGTTGTCCCCAGAACCTGGATCAAACACAGACACAGGAGGGGAGCCATTTAGGCCAGCAGTTCAACATTTTTCAATCCTGACTCTTTGAAGTGGAGCAATTCCTACTCGTGACACCAACACCTGCCCCCAGTATGCACAGGCAGGGTGAAAAGCAGTGGTGATGAGGTGTATTTTTTTCTACTTTACCAGTTGTTTTCTTTGATTACAGTCGTTTCTGATTGCTTAGGTAATAACTTTGCAATAATAGCTGGAAGGCTCAAAGCTCTAATGCACTAACTGCAGAATATTACATCAAGCCAGTAAAACTATTTTTGAGACAGTCTTGTAAAAATTGAATTTATACATTAAACCCAAACCATCATTTAAAGAACCTCTTGAAGCACCAACTACACACTGATGTAGTGAAACACACACTTTATGTTTTCTGTGTGCAAGGCACAGCAGCTCGCATTAATCAACTGACATGTGTGTGTAAATACCCATGTTTGCATGTATGCATCTTTGGAACCTTACTTACCTTTATTTCTGCACACAATCAACAGAAATAAAGGTAAAAAAAAAAAATTAAAAAAAAAAAAGGATAATTTTGCATTTTAAATATGCAAACACTCCTCAAAAGACATTAGCGGTAGAACAAAACATTTCCAAGGAAAAATACAAGAAAGCCAGCCAAATGTCATTCTCTTTGTCAATCCAGACTCACAACTTTATCCACATCTCATGGAAAGCATCAAATGAGTGCAAAGCAATCACTTTACAAACTGCCTGTAAAGCAGAGAAAGCACATTCAGTTTGCCAAACCTGGTAAATGCACTTGCTACAAAAGTTAGTATTTTCAGGTATACTCCGATCCTAATGTGGATATGCGATTGAGAAAATGAATGGATGTGAAGGCACCTGGTGCAGTTGTATGGCTTTCTCCATGGTACTCCGTCCCCATTATCACAGGCTTCAGGGTTTCAGCAGCAGTTTCCTAAGAAAGACAAACACTCAGTCAGAGAACAATCCAATGCTGTGCAAAATATTAAGCCACCCATCAGGGTGCAGTCATTTACTGCAATGTACAAACACACATTATATAAAACCAAAAGCAGTCTTCTTGAAGGACATTCAAAGCTCTTCTTTGGGTGTTGGCAGCCTTTTGTTTTGTTCTCTGTCCACACGATACCACGCTGCTTTAAAAATGTTGAAGTCTGGACTCAGTGGAGGCCAATTCATAGCTGAGTGTTCCACTGTTTTTCTATGCAAATATGCCTTTACTGCACCATCAGTGTGTTTGGGATTACTGCTGTTTTGATGCGACCCATAAAATTTTACATTTGGATTTATCACTCCATAAGACTTGCTGCCATAAGTTTCACTCCAGTTCTTGTGTAATCCAGCATATCTCGACCTTTTCTCTGCGTTTCCATCTCTTAAGAATGGCCTCTTGACAGCTACCCTTTCACTGAGGCCATTTCTGATGAGGCTTCAGTGATCAAGTGAAGAAAAAGATGCTCTCAGGTCCTGTGTCAGGATACACTGCACACCATGTCAAGATCTGCCAAATTTTTCCCCTAATAGCTCTCTGGAAATCATGTTGTTGATGCAATAATGATTAAGTGTTAAGTGGCTTAACAAATAAACAAAAAAAGAAAATCATTAAATTACAAAAACTGACTGAAAATGAGTGAAAAAGCAGCCAGCGTCTGAAAGAGCTTCAGAAAGCTTGAAAAACTTTTAAGACCACTTGAAAATCAAAGAAACCTCACAGGTGTTTCATTTTCAACACCAATTTTGATATTTAGCGAATTAAAAATCTAATATTACAATGTATTTTTTTTCTTTCAGACTTATGAAGCATAACTAAATTTCCCACAACATGTGCTATCTGTAGTTATGGACGAGTCCTTACTGAGAAAATATGGCAACATAACCCATAACATAACCCACAACTTTTAAAGATAAAACAAGAGATAGATAGATAGATAGATAGATAGATATCTATCTATCTATCTATCTATCTATCTATCTAATAAACTGAGACCAGTAATATTTGTTTGTTTGTTTTTTAAATAAAGCATTTTGCTTAAAGCCTGTGTATTCCAGTGCTCTATACAGAGCGATGATACCTCAGGAGTTAGGATGGTCCAGCTGTTATTAGCACTCCCAGTGCCAGACATGGCCCCCAAGAGACTTTGCGTGTCTCTCCTGCAACAAAGAACAACATAGAGAACAATGTGAAGAGCGTATATACGTACACCCTGAATCAAAGCCATGCATATTTTACAGTTTGACTTACAGAAGAGACAACTAACAATGTGCCACTAGCTTACAATTACAGTAACAACATGAGGACTGCAGCTTTAAGAAATTTACGCTCATTGTTTACCCAATTTGAATACAAGCCTCTACTACTCAGCCTCACCCATTTTGCCAATAAAGGTCTGACTGTAATGTGTTACTGAGGTCTTTGTGCGAGTGTGTGCATTTTGTATGTGAGCAGGAAGTCTAATTCCCTGGGAGCATTCAGTTCTTCATTAGTAGTTTATGTGTGCTATGAGCCTTTTGGCCAGCCTGGCTTTTGACTAGCTGGGAAATGTTTTGGCAGAGACATGGGTAACTAAGGCCGGCACTACAATGGGCTGTCCATTTCAAAGGTACTGGTCTCTTAAACAGAGGTCTACAAATGAGCACATTTGTGGTGTACACTATATCTGCCCACTGCTTTGGAATCACTTATTTTACAGTAAAATCATTCATCTTAGCTGCCACCACAGTAGTTGAGAAAATTATCTCCCATGTAACCACTTCAGTGTCACCCCCTTGTTAGGTGGAAGTGTCAGGTATTAGATTTTTAAAAAGCTTTTCCTTTCAAATTACACAAGGTAGCATAACAGCGAGACATATTTATATGCATCCAGTCTAGTTTTGTATGAATGCTGAAAGAACGAGGCACTTAAGTTAATACCACACTGTCTGGGTAATGACACACTTCACTCCCCAAATTCAATTCTCTCCCAGCTCTGCTATTTAGGTCTCCTAATCGAGTGCCTCCCAAGAGAAGCCTACTGAATCTAGCCTGGGGCCCAAGGAGCATTGTGGAGGATATAGTGGAATGGTTTAAATAGATGCCAGCTAAATATAGCTACCATGAGATTGACTAGAGACAGACAGAGGGAGCATGCAGGAGATGGCCATGGGGAATAAAATAAAGGCAGAAATGTATTCTAAGGACAGTTTTAAAAAGGATTATTTTACATGCAACACAAGGGAGGGAGAAAAAAAAATAACATCCTGGTCTGATCTTATTCACTGATCGGTACGAATAGCATTTAATTTAAGCTCTAGCTGTAGGAGTCAGTGCAAGATCATACTTTCACAGTGCATGCGTCTAATCTCAGTTTATCTCTTCAGACATTAATCTGCATGTGTGTGTTATCTTCCAGAGACTAGACTGTTAATCTTTTTTGCAGCGTCTTTGCCTCTGCATGGAAAAATTACCAAAAAAGGTCAAGAGATAAACTACAAGACTTTCCATGAGGACAGCCAACGCTGGGCTGCGAGCTAAAGCCAGCTCCACACAGCATCACCGCTAAAAGCAGACCGCTCTTATCACTATGCAAAAAGGGTCGGGGTTAGTTGGAAGAAGTTCATAACCTGCGACAGGAAATGTCACACGGCCTTAAAGAAGACAACAACATCTGGTTAAGCTCAGGAATATCACTTCTCACATGAGGTGAGGGCCGCTGTTAGTAGGCTACTAAAGGCTTCACAAGCCGAAAGTTGTTGACATTAGTCCTTAAAAAAACGTTTCCACTTCAACGACGTCTGCCGAGCAACCAGGAAAACGTGAACGTTTGCGACACAGAGGGAGAAGAAACGACACTAGAAAAGACGTCGTTATCTTGTAATACAACCAAAAATACAGGTGGGTCTTACCGTGGTCTGTCACTTTACTTTAGACTTCAGAGGACGCCACAGACGCAAGCTAGGACTTCTTTGATTCTTCCCATCAAACTTGACAACTTATAACGCGCCTCCAGAACTTACTGAGCCATGCTCTTCTCGCCCAATCACAAAACGCGTTTGCTCTAGTCCCGCCTCTCGCTCATCCAATAAGATATCGTTGTCGCTTCACTTCGGCTGGAAAGCTTCTAAGTTGATTGACATGTATATATGTATAAATATGTAAGTGATGGAGGCTGAATTAATGTAAAATTAATACTACAGGTTACTGCTACTGCTACCCTGACATTAGACAGGCTTGAGTTGATGGTTTCCATCATAAATAGAGCCTCCAGTTTAGCGATAATAATAATGCTCTTTTGCACACTCACTTAAGAAATACCAAGAGTCACATTAGATGCAAGCTAAAACGGTTTCATAGAAGCTATATTACTGACACTTAAGATCAAAGCATTTTTCTCCTTTTAAAGGTGTCTGTGCAGAATTACCTAATCATCAAATGACCAAAAGAAAAGAAGCAAAAATTCAGACATGTAGGTAATAATTTTTTCTGTTTATGAGTTCCTTTATTTATTGCCACACCACTTTGTGTTGTACAGTGAACATCAGGTGAGCCACAGTCCTGGGAATCTCAGATCATCAGGGTACAATTCAGAAAACTCTAACCCAGTCCGGATATAAAGTCTGTATCATCTTGAAACCTGCTGGCAAGCTTCCTCGAACCCCAAAAGACCTCCCTTCCTATAGAGACACCGAAAAACAAAAAGCAAAAAAATGTTAAAGGGTTGAGTGGTTTTATGATTTTGAAATTATTATTGATAGATTTATTAAATACTATAAATTAAAGCATGTAGTTTATACATAACAGTCATTCAAAACAAGTCATACCTGCCAAGGCTTTACCATATAACACTCCCATTTCTGATGAAATAAAAGCTGGTTGAAATTACAATACAGGACCCAGTGGAGAAACAAGGAAAAATCTGTGCTCTACCACTTGATGTACCCTTTTCTCTCAGTCTGTCAGTCCAGGATCTCTTTGATGCACCAGCAGCAGAGGAGGAAATAGAGGCATTCTTTAACCGACTGGATAAAACTGTAGGCAAAGTTTCCTCCCAGGAAGTTCTTGCCTCGTCCCAGGCCCATGGCCATGTCCCGCAGGTGCTGTCCCAGAGAGGCGGAAGGCATGGCCTGGGGAAGAGGACGCTGGGGGTGCATGGCTGTGCAGAGGGACCAGACAAATGCAACGAGGAGGGCAGTCGATGAGAAGAACTGGAAGATGAGCTGTGACAAATGGAGTCAGATGAGACCCATGCAACAGCTGAGCTCTGCTCCGTATTCCCGGCACTGTTCACTCCTCTACTTATAACCTCCTATACAAACTGCAAGCGCTCTCCACCCACATCTGGCATTTTCTGGACTGTCCTCTAGTTTCAAACGCCCGCTGACTGATTAAAGACCTTGTTTACCTTTGCTGTACTCAGTTCCCATGTGTCGTATGATGCCCCCCTGAATAAGCCCCTGCTGTTCCAGCCACAAACAAGAGAGTTCCAGTAGCTCCAACACATTCGCCACGACACCACACTCTTTGTTCGGGTCAGCGTACAACAAACGCTCATATTTTCTCGTAGTGTGTGCTTTGTTTCAGTCTCTGCTGAACTTTTTTGATGTACACAGAGGGAGGCACAGCAAAAGCCAAACTCACAAAGCCAGATAAGTGATATATGTATTTATATATGCAATCTATATTTTTCCAATACAGGTGTAAACAGACACATTTCCCTAAAAACAAAACAAGACAAAGAGTATTAAAACAGAAACATAAAGTAATAAAAATCATTATCTGTGCACACTATTTCAAAAGGAACCTTTGGCTTTTTAAAAACACAAACCAAAAAGTACAACAGCATCATCAACACTACCACCATCACCAACAATAAACAACTAATTTTCTGAAAGGATTTTCATGCAACAAAGGCTACTGTGATGCACAATAATAACACAGAACCAGTTCACTAACGATAAAGAGCATCAAGTGAGCCTGTTCCAGCCCACACACACATACAATAGGTACGCACAGTAATGGCAGAACTTCTCTGCCGTTTTCCTATTTCTGACCTGCATAAAGCTGAACATGCAGACTGACCCGGCGGTCACTCGGGTATGTGTGTGCATACATGTTCTACAACATGTTAGCCCACTTCAAAGTCTAATGACTAACAGATAGTTAAGGTTTAGGCTGAAAAAAAAAAATCCCTTCTCAAATTTTTAAATTTTGGCTTCGGTCTCTTCGACGTGTTCAAATTTTACATGAGCGACCTCTGTGCTGTGGTTTCTGGCTCTGTGTTATTTATCAAAGAAGTCATTAAATATACAAAAATGGAAACAATAATCCATCACTTAAGCTTATCAGTCAAAAATTTATGTTATTTACAGATGATCAGGAAAAACCCCCGATCCCATACCACCCCGACCCCCACTCCCCCCCAGATGGTGACATCAAGTATCTGTGACTGTAAGCTGAACGCGAGAACGTGCATCAGAGGAGATTGCCATCACTAGATCTGTTTGCATGTGTTTACCGGAGTGTCATTTTTGCAAAGTTGTTGATAAACTGAGACTTTTTTTGTAAGATTCTCCTGTAGCTGACTACATTTGAATTAAGTACATAAGGTGACTGCATTGGAGTGACATGACTGCATTGAAGAAACAAGGCACGATCAAAAAGGTATATATATATCTATATATAGATATATAGATATATAAACCAAAAACAACTACATCATGAAGGGAGGAGGAAAACAGTAAACAATAACGTGAACTTCTCCCTCCTGATCCTCGAAAGTCTGTGAACACAGCACGCCGAGGAGCAACCTTTGGCTGAACAGTTCATTGTTAGCAATATCCGTCTAACCTCGGAGCATAAAAGGTTTGGAAATCGTTCATTATTCTCTCAAACGATTCAATAAAACACAAACATCAAAATTACAGAACCAGTTACCATGACATAACTTGCATTGTTTTTGCAGAAGGAAATTCATTGCTTAGACTGTTAAACACTTGTCAAAGGGGTCTCCCGCTAACTGCTCTTTTCAATTAGGATATTCTTTAAAGAAATAACACATAGATTGTCGATGCAAACGCATATTAAGGTGTTTAATGTAAACCAAATGCTCAATAATATCTCGTCTAAGCTTCTCCAAACTTACTGAATTTTGTGTTGTGGTTGATTTTGATGTATTTTTTAAAAATCTCCTTTATTGCCCCCCCCATGCACACAATCGTTCCTCTCCACTCTAAAACGGGCATGTTTCGAAATGCATTTCTTTCTACACACATTTGCTCCGATGCCGCAAACGCACAAGATCGATAGGAGTTGTTAATATTCATGGCTTCCTTTTCTGCTTCCTTTTCAACCAAGTTCATGTTCTTTGGCATGACAGGTGGTGCTGACTCAGTTGTGTAAAAGGTGTGTACGTCTGCGTTTAGAAAGGGATTGGGAGGATACAGCTGATTTGATCCTTGCGTACTCAGGATGTCCTTTGATTGATGAGTGCCAAGATAATAAACAGAAATACAGAAAAAAAAAAAAAAAGGAATATACAGTATATGAAGATCATTGGCATAGCAGTCCTAGATTTGCATACAGGCTTTCCTCCAGGGGTTTAAAAGTCCTTAAAAGAGGAGAAGTTGGGGTTGGGGGTGGCCCTCTGATGAGATCGGAACCAAACTCGTATACCTGTACACATATTCTCCAGCCGAATTATTTTATACTAAGGATTGCTGTGAGAGTTTGTGTTTGAGCCTAGTTCAGTCTCAGAAACAAAGAACTCTTGCCATCCAGTTTGTGTTTTATCTAAAATGCTCCAGCAACAGTCTGAGGAGGATTTTTTTCCCTCCTTTCAGAAAGAATAAAGAAAGCACATGCTTAGAAGTACTGAAGATCTCCCTCCATGTCCCTTAATGTTCCTTTCCACACTCTTCAGTTCTGCCATTTCAGTACATGATTCCATGTAGTATTACGTTTCCACTTTTTTTTTCATAATTACAGATAAAGATTTTTTTTTCTTAAAAAACAAAAAGAAAAAAAGATTGCATTTGTTTTCTGCCCCATTCTGTAATTTGCAAAGGGCTCCTTCCTGGTTCACAGTAGGCTGAGAAATTGCAGCAGTGCTTCTCCGCTTTGGAGGAATGCGCCTGATAGTCGGTGATGTCAGCGAAGGAACCGTAGATCACAGTTTGGACAGGAAATATAGCAACAGCAGCAAGTGAGTGATTTTGCAGAGAAACTGGTGATACTTTTTCTATTTTTTTTGGCTTTCTTTGCAATGTGTGTGCATATGTATCGTTGTGTGTTAGGTGTAGTGTTTCTGTGTGCATTAAAGGAAATGAGCGTGTGTGTGTGTGTGTGTGTGGTCGTGTATGTTGTGCAGAACTGATATAATAGTAGGAGTGTATGTTTTTGGTGGTGTATTTCATTGGTGTGGGTAAGGTCAGGCCCTGCGCTCTACTGGCTGTTGCAGACACACTTCACTCCCAGCTGACACAATGGGAAGTCTGTTGTCCATGTGGTAACTGATCAGGTGGCTGACACTCGAAAACCGGTGGTCTTTTGTACGGACCTAAAAAAAGAAAAGGGGAATAAATTAGAGTAAGCTTCAACACCAATATAACCCTTCACTCTGAAATCTCTGTTATGAATTTGATCGTTTCGTGACATACCACTCCTTCTGGGTCAACGAGCAGCAGGTGTTTGGGCTGACCACCCTGCTGTCCCGTGAGGACGTACTGCCCAGGTGTGGTTCCAGACTCCCGCACCAGGAAGTCTCCATCTCGGGTCAACAGTTTCTCTGCTTCCTTACGACTTAGGCTCCCGTGGAACCAGATTTCAGACTGTAATTGCTGCACCATAGAGGGCACTGCTGTCACTGAGTTTGGGCCTCCATGCCCAGAAACCCCCAGGGCATCATCCAGTGGCTCTTGAAAAATGAACACACAGAAATGTATTATTTTGTATTTCACTGTAGATAACATGTTGTCCTGTAGGATCCCATAGCACTGTCTGCATTTCTGCACGACCGATAAATAGGGAAGTGAACCACATTGACTCTGACAGATGCTGCACACAGTTGTGGACTCTGCCGTGAAAAGCTTTATGTAGTCAATCAATAATCTTATACAAATTGCCCCTGTAATGGACAAAGACATTCTAATATCCTTATCTTCCTCTGAGGCTGACTTCTGTGGAGAGCTCCACTGCCAATTAGCATCAGTCATATGGAAATGTAAAATACAAACTGCTTTACTCATCTCACGAGCCCAATGATTAACCCTCTTTTCTTCTCACATGAAAGAAAAATAGCTGATTGCAATTGCCAGAAATTTTGGTCATCTTGATTACAACCCACACACATCACAAATTACCTTTCTTATTTAGTTTTCTCACAGGCTAATGATTTGCACTAGTGTTCAGGATTCAGTCCATTTGAACTTCACTTAGCAGATTTCCAGCAAAAACGCACAAAAAGACACTTACTCATGTCGAAAGCGTCTTTGTGAGCATTTCCGTTTGCTGCAGCTGGGAGGCGAGGTTTATCTACGTTGACGTACGAAGGGTCATCAAACATCTCCCGCCCACCTTCTTTGGCACCCACTAAGAAAAAACAAAATAAAAAAGGAAATAAGTAAAAGTTGCACAAACACAGGAAGAACTTTGCCACGTATTCTCACTTCCTTGCAATTCTAAGAATTTTATCAGGACTAAACAGGGCAAAAACGGAGAGAAAGTTTGACCAATTTCTCGTGATTTAGCAACAAATAATATAAAGAAATATGTTAGTAACCAAAAAAGAAAAAAAAAAGAAAAAAGGACAGGAACGACAGATAAAGTCCAAAGAGATGCACACATGCAGGCAGCGACAGAGCTCACCTGGTAGGGGTGGCAGAGGCTGTTTATGAATGTCATTCTGACCCGGCTGTCCATAAGGCTGCAAACACAGAGGGGTACAAACAAATGCTGAATGCGTGCACCATGTGGGCATCCTCAAAAAAATGTTCTTTTCTGGCTAGTGAAATGATTACAATCTATTTATCTATCACTTAGGAATGACACAAGTAATTGATTAATTAATTAATAAAGTTTTTTGGGGGGTATGCTTGTCTTCCTTTCATGTTGATATGCACGGTTCTCACCAGCGTGGCACCAGGCCGGGTCCTCATGTCAATCACTCCAGCAGGGGGAGGCTGTTTTCCAGGGAAATTATTATAGTACGGGACATCAGGAGGCGGAGCAGCCTCATCTTCTTCTTCCTCCCATGCAGAGCCATCAAATGGAGCCATTCTGTCACAGAGAACAGATACAGAAACAAATTATACGAGACAATATGCAAATACAAGCTCTTGGTTTAGGTTTGTGCAAGCGACAGTTACCTGTCATGAGGTGTGACCAGTTTCGGAGGGTTTTTTAGATACTGTTTAAAACGCAGTTCGAAGGCCTGACCAATGGTGCTGATGACTTCCTGGGCTAAACCCTCCGAACACTCCAGGATATGACATGCTGCAATAAAGAGGCACAAAAAGCTGATAAGCGGGCTTCTTTTGAAGGAAGCATGTGCTCCAACATACAAATACGTTCAGATACAGGTAGAATACAAAA